TATATGGTTGAGAATATACATATGCACAAATAAACATTGCCACATTTATTTGATAAAGGTACCATCACACCGCCTCATCTAAATGTTGACCTTTTCAGTCACTATTGATTTTACCCATAGGTTTCAAGAATAAGGCCCTTTCTATCACAGACAGGTCCTAGAAGGACGAAAGCAGCTAGGCACTTCTGTATCTAATTCTAAATTCTGTTGGAAGGTACTTTCCACTTGTGTGGCTTTGTTCAATCTTAAGCAAACGATAAAGTATAAGTAGACTGTGATAACATGCTAATATATTGATCAATTTTAAAATCAATTATTGCGTAATGTCCAATGCTATAACTTTGTTAATTTACCAAAAAAGAGTATTTTTCACCTTTAAGATGTTTTATGGTAACATGATGTATCGGTTCTTCACCAAGACCAATCCTCTACCAACCTAGTATTGATCGTTTTAAATGGAATAAAGAATTCTAATCTTGAGATTCCGCCGTTAGCAGTGTCTGAGATGTTATATGATGTGGAAACAGATTAAATCAGAAGTCCTCATTAGCGGTTTCTTTGATCTCCCAATTGAGAGATGACAGTGGTTAATTTGTCTGACAATTTTTATCATTTATCACAGTTTTCTATCTAGCCTTTTTTATCCATGTTAGATACAGGTTACTGACCACTAATGCGACAGTGTTATATTACCATCAGCTGGTAAAGAAAATCTATGTCGTGACCATCAAACGTTGACCAAACTACTTCAAAAGACAGTATATAATTTACCAATGAGATATGTAACAAACAAAAAAAAATAATGAAATATGATATCCCTGATCTTCCGGAACACAAGGTATTCATTTTCTTTTGAAAATGGTATGTATTTATGTCTTTCTTTTACTGGTATCTAAAAGATGCGAGTATATCTTTATTTTTCTTCATCATTTGTTTGAATTTTTCGTTAGTTTCTGTTTCTTTGTTTCTGAATCTTGTTTGTTTGTTTGGCTGTTTTTTCTTTGTTTTTCAACAATTGTAAAAAAAAAAGAGTATAACTCCCCTGACTGATATTTTGGGGAAGGAGGGGACTTTACATGACAGATGACCCATTGTCTTTATCATGTTTCTAAGTGGCAGGCGATGATAGCATACTAAAGTTATGATATTTCAGGGTGATGACACTTTAAAAGTGTCCTTCAATAGACCAATCATGTGTGAACATCACCTTCCTATGATACCTTCCTATGACCTTTGAACCTGGTTGTTAAGGAGACGTAAATTCCCAAATAAACTAGATATCCGTCAGAATACGGACCGAGACTCGGTTTCAACTAATCACTCACACTTAGCCATCATGGCCGCACACGCCAACCATTTCCTGTTTTAAACATTTTTCGTTTTCAATTTTACTAGCTATAATAAAATGCCACACCTAAATTAAGACGTGGTTTAGTTGACAAATCACGCGCTGACGTTTTATAACAACTTCAGTGTGCTGTTTTCTGTTTATCTAACGGAATGCTTTCTCAAAGGAAGTGTACGAATGTCGAGAGGAGAAAAAGACGAAAAAAAAAAAAAAAACTACATCGAAAGCTACATATATTCTCATATCAGCGAATTTTTCTACACGGTCTCATATACAAGCCTAAAATGAACTCATATTTACAGGCAGGTAAAGACTATTCATTAATAAAGTGTAATTCATTCTCAATGAATAACAGGGTGACAATAGGAATTGCATTTCAATTGTTCATATTGTAATGGGATTTAACATATCTGCATTTGTAATCACCATTTATACTTCTCAATCTCCCTGGGTTAACACCACAGTTAAAAGCTGCATCAATGTTAGTAATCGAGATAAATGACAAAATTAGATATCCATGCTGTGTGAAAATGAAAGGTCTCCGGACGTGTCTTTAGGATGTCGATAGACAGACCTTTTAAAAAAGACTTCTAACAATCTTACAACTTATCAAAACTGCAAAGTGGCGCTAAAAACTGAGATCTAAGCACTTTAAAAAATATTGAATATCGACGGTAATGAAGGATTTCCAAATCATCCCCAGACTTCAACGACCGAGTCCAGGTGTTGTTGGAAAGTCATTCTGATACGAAATATCAATGATTTTCCGAAAACGTCGTCTCAGATGTAAATGTTGGGTTTGACTTCACCGACAGAGTATCACGTGTTTGCGAAGCCATATATGCTCGAACTTCTCCTTGCATTTAAACAATAGCAATAACCAATAGTAATTTGGCAGTACTTATATCGCCTTTATTAGTCGGAGTATTCTCCGACACTTGTACTGAAAATGCAATATGAGAAGATAGAAAAGGTGTACCTTAACTAGTCCCTAAAACGTACAGTGTACCTTAACTAGTCCCTAAAACGTACAGTGTACCTTAACTAGTCCCTAAAACGTACAGTGTACCTTAACTAGTCCCTAAAACGTATAGTGTACCTTAACTAGTCCCTAAAACGTATAGTGTACCTTAACTAGTCCCTAAAACGTATAGTGTACCTTAACTAGTCCCTAAAACGTATAGTGTACCTTAACTAGTCCCTAAAACGTATAGTGTACCTTAACTAGTCCCTAAAACGTATGGTGTACCTTAACTAGTCCCTAAAAGTATAGTGTACCTTAACTAGTCCCTAAAAGTATAGTGTACCTTAACTAGTCCCTAAAACGTATAGTGTACCTTAACTAGTCCCTAAAACGTATAGTGTACCTTAACTAGTCCCTAAAACGTATAGTGTACCTTAACTTGTCTCTAAAACGTATGGTGTGCCTTACCTTGTCCCTTAAACCACATTAGGTACAGCTTGGTACTAAACACCAGTTCAACCACAGTAGGTACAGCTTGGTACTAAACACCAGTTCAACCACAGTAGGTACAGCTTGGTACTAAACACCAGTTCAACCACAGTAGGTACAGCTTGGTACTAAACACCAGATCATCCACATTAGGTACAGCTTGGTACTTAACACCAGATCAACCACAGTAGATACAGCTTGGTACTAAACACCAGGTGGACCACATTAGGTACAGCTTGGTACTTAACACCAGATCAACCAGATTAGGTACAGCTTGGTACTTAACAGTAAATCAACCACATTAGATACAGCTTGGTACTAAACACCAGATCAACCAGATTAGGTACAGCTTGGTACTTAACAGTAAATCAACCACATTAGATACAGCTTGGTACTAAACACCAGATCAACCAGATTAGGTACAGCTTGGTACTTAACAGTAAATCAACCACATTAGGTACAGCTTGGTACTTAACACCAGATCAACCACATTAGGTACAGCTTGGTACTAAACACCAGATCAGCCACATTAGGTACAGCTCGGTACTAAACACCAGATCAACCAGATTAGGTACAGCTTGGTACTTAACACCAGATCAACCACGTTAGGTACAGCTCGGTACTAAACACCAGATCAACCAGATTAGGTACAGCTTGGTACTTAACAGTAAATCAACCACATTAGATACAGCTTGGTACTAAACACCAGATCAGCCACATTAGGTACAGCTCGGTACTAAACACTAGATCAACCACATTAGGTACAGCTCGGTACTTAACAGTAAATCAACCACATTATATACAGCTTGGTACTAAACACCAGTTCAACCACGTTAGGTACAGCTCGGTACTAAACACCAGGTGGACCAGATTAGGTACAGCTTGGTACTAAACACCAGATCATCCACATTAGGTACAGCTTGGTACTAAACACCAGTTCAACCACGTTAGGTACAGCTCGGTACTAAACACCAGGTGGACCAGATTAGGTACAGCTCGGTACTAAACACCAGATCAACCAGATTAGGTACAGCTTGGTACTTAACACCAGATCAATTACATTAGGCATAGCGTACTTTTTAAAACAAGACCAACCACGTTAGCACTTTAGGAGCAAACATTGAAACAATCTGTCTAGGCGTTTTAAGACAGTTCGGACCTAAAACGTCACGCAAAAAAAATCGATATTGTCTTTTTGGAGGCAGTGCATTGTGAAGTACATATACACTAAAAGGTTAATTTCACAAACAGCTGTCGTAGTTGCTCTGATTTAAAACAGATTCCTTTACTCTTTTTAACGTGTCATCTGAAATTTAGATATTTAATAAGTTTCTATCAATCACAGTTTGTATTTCGTTAAATTTAAAGTTTTAAAACAGTTTTCTATTTTTATTTGTGTTAGATGTGTTTTTGTTTAAGTGTCCTTCTCTAGTGTTCTTTGGCCATCGATACCTCTTATTGTCGATGCCCTGTAACATTATACAAATCATTCAAACATATTTCGTAACCTTAGTCATCTCTTTCAAAACATCATTATTTTCTTATGTCAGAATATCATTTAATTTATGACTTGTTAAAACTTAACAACGGGAATAGAGGTATGACCTCGTTTGGCCAAGCAATTGCTTTTTTCGTTCGCAGCTTGGTTTTCAATCTTTTTTTTTTTTCATTATGAAAATTTTTAAGTTATTTTCGACAGACAATAAATAAGTGATCATTTCTAAAGCTTACTGGTCAGTGTTTTATACATACTGCTATATTAGTTAGTCAGTCAGTCAGTCAGTCAGTCAGTCAGTCAGTCAGTTAGGCAGTTAGTTAGCTAGTTAGTTATGTAGTTAGTTATGTAGTTAGTTAGTTAGTTAGTTATGTAGTTAGTTAGTTAGTTATGTAGTTAGTTATGTAGTTAGTTAGTTAGTTATGTAGTTAGTTAGTTAGTTATGTAGTTAGTTAGTTAGTTAGTTAGTTAGTTAGTTAGTTAGTTAGTTAGTTAGTTAGTTAGTTAGTTAGTTAGTTAGTTAGTTAGTTAGTTAGTTAGTTAGTTAGTTTTTTGTTTTCAAAGTTATTTTAGGTAAACGATCTGGAAGCCAACATGAACTTCAGTTCAGTACTTCCGTGAATTAGCACTAAGAAGTCGGCTTCAGTTCCGCGCTATCACAAAGAACTTAAACTATAATAAATAATTAAAAGTTGTGTACATACCTGATGAAAGTAAAACGTCGGGACTGAGTTGTTGGTTGGCGGAAGATGTCCGATGTCCGTTGGAAGGACGTCCGGCTGTCCAATATCACCTCCGTTATCCGTAATATTCATGTTTTGTACTGAATCAGAAATGCCGCATACAAATCTACCTTTATATTTCGCCTCTTTATCAAATATCTCTGCGGTTAGTTTAATGTTAAATGAACATAATGTCCACCATCCATCTAGATCGTCATCAGAACTTTTGTTAAAGAACAGCGCCAGTCACTGCAGGTACCACTATAAGAATGTGCAGTTCACTAAATCCACCATTTAAACACTGTCCGATGCAGTAAAGAAGATCACGTGATCACTTACGTTGTCATGTTCATGCCCAATTAGTTTGATTCCCTCGTATTGAAAAAAAAGTTTTGATTAAATTGATTACGTTAAGAATGTTGTGCTTGTTGGTATTCTTAGTCACGTGCAGTTCCATGCGTAACGACTTGATTTTTTTCATTTTTGAAAGTTAGAATTATCTAGAATGAATAACTTCATTGTGAAAATATTGCTATTGCATAATATTTCTACTGATATTCATACACAAATTATTTTCTGTCTCCAAAATTGGACTCAGCAAGTTAATCTTGTCGTCCAAAACTCCTCATATTTCTAAAATAGATATTATTCCTGCTCTGAACTACTGTGGTATTTGGTATACCGTCGTGTTTTATCTAGATTGTACCCCTGACGGATGTCCACCCACCACGGCTCGTTCTGGAGAGTGAATGTAGCCGTATATATTGGCACCACAATAAAATATTCCACCTGGAATCGGTGAATCCGGGTCGATATCTCGGAAACGGTATTGTCCAAAGGGACCGTACTGCTCTGTACAGACACTGCACAGCTGACGTGGAAACCTTTATATTGTTTTCCACAGCTAATAACAAATTTAAAACACCTGTAGTATTAAATATGGAATTTGTTTAGTGTCTTATTTCATGTTGACTGTGTTTCGATAAAAATTACACTACTCGAAAATAAGCGTTAGAATCTTACGTCAACCGAAATTAATTCATTGTTCTATGCTACAGTTGAATTTAATATAATTCAAGACTTGGGGACGGTGCTGTCAGAATGTTTGATTTTAACAAATCCACAATTCTGAATGAATAGAACTCTATACGAATGTAACGTGATATGACTACAGGATTAAAAGAGAACCTTAGGCAATCTGCCAGCAAGTCTCCATAAGCGTCCACACTATAAGAGAATATTCTATTGTGTGACGGTGAATGTTGTTATTCTGTTGAAAATACCACTGTCTCCGTTTCATCTTAATCCTTTTAAAGGGGTATGCTAAATCATTCGTAAGAAATCAGTTTCAATAGGGACTGCAAATAATTTTCTGTTATATCTGAATGTTCTAGGAAAGGGAAAGGTCTTAAAACTAGTCCTTCTTTATCAAATAGAAATATATACAAGCCCCTAGAATAAATTCTCCTAACCCAATGGGTTTGAGTACCCTAAACCACAAATGGGCATAAATCTTCCAAATTTAAAAGAGATACACAGGACTGGTTCTAAGGAGAGAAAACACTTCGATAGGTTGGGAATTCCCCTATCTATCATACGTAATGAAATCTCACCTTCAACAAGGTCACATTTTTGTAAAATATACAGATAATAAACTATTTAAAACTAACAGTCATCCGGGGGTTGAGTGTACCCTACCAACCGGATAGATAACCCCACAGGGAATGAACGTTAAAACACTACAAAAATACAGGAATACCACGGTCTGATTATTTTATTACCAGATAGTGTTCACGTTCTCTGTTAGCTGACTTCGACCTCTAATACCCACAATCCCTATAAGGACACCATCTCTGACCTTGACATTCGACTCCCGCACTGACGAACTTTGTTCTGAGCAGCTTTCTTAACTGCGACAGTACGAACTGCCCCGTTCGTGTATTCCACCTGCTCTCGTAGTTTACCTACGTACGAAAATTGATCGTCTGCCCATTCATTGAACTCAATGCCTAGAAAAGCGTTCATTGACAATCGAGGATGCCACCCAAACGTTAAATAATGGGGTGAGAAGCATGTGACATCACTTGTAGTCACATTGTAGGCTTGAATTAGGGGTGCTAGGTAAGTTTTCCGGTCAAAGGTTGCTAACATCACGAGGAGGCTTTTGTTAAATGCGTCGTTGACCCATTTCCCATAGGATGGTAAGGGGAGGTCTTAGTTCTTTTCACTCTAGCTAACAGAGCACGTGTATAGCCTGACGTTCGAAGTTCCGGCCCTCATCACTATATTACCTCACAGGGAAGCTGTAAAGGGCGATGAGATGATCAAACGAAGCCTTAGCTATTGTCAATGGACTTGTAAGAAAGTCGATACACACCAACTCAAGCGGCCTGGATGTACAAATAAGAACTAGCTAAGCGAAGGGTTGGACTGGTGTCTTACGTCGTAAACAGCGGCCCCATGTCTCCAGTTCAGTGTTTACATCCCTCTCTAGACCCGGCCATAGTGTTTACATCCCTCTCTAGACCAGGCCATAGTGTTTACATCCCTCTCTAGACCCGGCCATAGTGTTTACATCCTTCTCTAGACCGGGTCATAGTGTTTACATCCCTCTCTAGACCCGGTCATAGTGTTTACATCCCTCTCTAGACCCGGCCATAGTGTTTACATCCCTCTCTAGACCCGGCCATAGTGTTTACATCCCTCTCTAGACCCGGCCATAGTGTTTACATCCCTCTCTAGACCCGGCCATAGTGTTTACATCCCTCTCTAGACCCGGCCATAGTGTTTACATCCTTCTCTAGACCCGGCCATAGTGTTTACATCCTTCTCCTGACCCGGCCAGTAAAAGAGTTGCCTTGCCAACCATAGGGTTTTCCGCTGTCCCTGGTGACCTTTATCGTCATGCATACCTTTTAGAGCTAGGGAATGGTACTGCCTTGGTCAGACAATCTGATATACTTTCTTGTCGTCCAGAAAATCGCCTCTCTGACGGTCAGGAAGTATTACCATCTTTCATTTACAATGAAAAGAATTCTGAAACTTAGATAAATCGGTATTCTTAGCAGTCATTGCAATGGTCATTGATGTATATTACTTCAGATTGGCAAAAAAGTGTAGCCGAGTTGGCTACAGTACATTGTTACCATCTTGTGTAGTCCCCCATATAATCTGTCTACCATCTCGTCACACTATTTACGACCTTACTGTACAAAGGATTATAGCACAGCCTATTGATAGCAGAAATATTTCAGTATTGGAATTAATGTTATCTGATAGAAATTACGATATCTTAACAAACTTCATTAACAATTGTGAACCCATTGGGTAAGGTTTGATCCGGATTGCATTGTTTAACGTCCTATCTAGAGTCAGGGAAATCTCAAAACGACGTCCCAATATATGTGGAAAGAGTGTATGTATGGAGTGTTGTATCTTTGGTAGGTTTCGATGTGTTCGTGTAAGCATCCTTGTGACAATACGGAACTGATGTCTCCTTGTGACGATACGGAACTGATGTCTCCTTGTGACAATACGTTACTGATGTCTCCTTGTGACAATACGGAACTGATGCCTCCTTGTGACGATACGGAACTGATGTCTCCTTGTGACAGTGCGGAACTGATGTCTCCTTGTGACAATACAGAACTGATGTCTCCTTGTGACAATACAGAACTGATGTCTCCTTGTGACAATACGGAACTGATGTCTCCATGTGATAGTGTGGATCTGATGTCTCCTTGTGATGTTGCGGAGCTGATGTCGACTTTATAGTGCTGCCTCACTGAAGTACACTGCCGAAGGCCCCAAACAAGACAACCCACTCGGTCAGGTACAGTATAGCCAAAAGATAGGGGTTTATTTAGGAATTCCTAAAACAAATCAATATGACCGAAAGCACCAATACCCTTTTCGTCCATGAAACGGGAATGCGAAATTAAGATGGGTAAAGAAAACACTACACGAGTTCACGGGCGAAAATAACCTGGGCGGCATTATCCTTTGGAAATATCTATGCCTGTGATCAAGCGGAGTTTCTTGGTAGAGAGAGATACCAGTCCTTAAAAGTGAACCTGCAGCTTAAAAGGGATTGCACTGTATCCTAGAAACACAGCGGTACTGGTCCTGAAAAACACGATGTAATCAAACAATATTTATTCTCTTCTGTGGAATAACAAAGAACCCGGAAGCCTTATTGTTATTTATATAAGCAACAGGAAACCGGTTTTTTGTTGATTTAAGCGACTTCTGAACTCTTGTGTTATTATAGGCGATAACAAAACTGTTTTGTGTTGATATAAGCGACAGAGAAGGTCCGCCATTGTGTTGACGTATGGACGGGAAATTAAGAAGAAATGTAATCTGTTTTCCATTACTAGATAAACCATAAATAAATAATGAACAACATGCCGGTATTCCACAGAATTAGAATTATTCCTCGAGTTTGTAAATTTGTCTAGATCATCAAAAAAGCGGTCCCTTTCTTTACAGTCAGTTATGTCAAACGCTGCTATTGATATGGTAACACTGAAACAGACACGTATTGTCATACAAACAATACAAAAATGTCACGTCATGAATTTGTCACAAGTCCAACATTTTTTATGTACAGCGTACAGCTGCATATATGTAACGCATTTGAATTTTTCATCATAAATTTCTATTCTGTTAAGTAGAAAAATCCTTGCCGTGTTTTATTGCTCGTTAAATATTTATTCTATGTGAAGGCGTCAGTGGATCGTTCAATAACTCATGCACTATTTCTGGATTGCGTTTTCACATCCAGCATGATTGTAAAACATGAGGGAGAAAATGACGAAATTAGTTCGTGTTGATAAATTTGATAACTTGACAAGAGATGCCTATTATCGTGATATTTTTTTTTAAAATTCTGACAGTCACGGGTCAAAGCTTTATCCTGGACTTAAGTATTGTGAAATTTACATAATACCGGTTTGTCCTTTTCTGCCATCGCAAATTTATGAACAGGAACCAAAACTTTACAGGATGTGACGTCAGAGGGAAAACGTAAAAATCGAAAATTAAAAAAATAGTAAACATCATAAAATGGCGCTTCCATATCATGAAAAAGG